GTACGATTACCACCATGGCCGTAGAAGAGAGACCGCCTGTATCTATTTGTCTTGACAACGGAGGTCTGGATTCGCTAATTGGATCACAAATGTCTTAGCTATTGCTAGCACCCACTTGCGTAAGCTCTTGGAGTAGTGGGCTGGTGCCCAGTAGATTACACTTCTGCCTCGACAGAGGCCCTGACAACAGTAAGAGCTTGTCGTATAGGCAAATAGTATTTCCGGCAAAGACTGGAATGGCCATTTCTGGATTATTGGCCATCGTCAGCCAGTCATACCCAGACCTAAGTAGGGATACAACGGAAATATTTAGAATAAACACTAAATCTTATTGTTAGACAACACACCTCCATGGCCTACTTAATTTCAGATTCATTGACCTGACCGCAAAACTTAAGTGGCCCCAAACTAGCTACTTACGAAAGGACCACAAAATATGGAAGAGTCGAACACAGACTACAAAATGCTTCAATGCTGGATATTCGTGAGTGCTAGAAAAAAAAAACCAAGTCTATTTACCGGCAAGATTCGCAACAAACAAAGTTAAGACGCAAGTGGGTGAGTGTGAGAGAGAGCGAAGTCAGAAGACTTAAACATAGAAGGGTGAGGAGCTTCCCTGACCTACTAAGTAACCACTGGTCGGGCACTAACTCTTCGGGGAAGGATCGTGCAGTTTGAGGGTAGTCCGGGCGCAAACCTAGACCGTGACACTTTTTCAACACTTACAATTTGCGTAGAAGATTAACAAGCCTACTTGAGGCTACAATTCGGAAAAAAATATTAAGCTTAAAGTCCCCAAAACGAGTTGTGTTTACATGACGAGTGGAAGGCTAGCACTTACCGGCTTCGTGGAGACGTCGACAGGCGGCTACTCGGGCAAGGCTCTTCGCTACTTCCCGAGTGGACGCAACTGGACCCTGGAACAAGGAGTAGAAGAAGCTCAGAGTCAGGTACGTGTAGATTCGCTGATAAAAACGCTCTTAGCCCCAGCTATCGGATAGTAATAATGCAGAGAGATTGAGAGTCAAAAAGGTAGTCCGTGGTTTAGGGGATAGCCAGCCGTCAGGTGATGGGCCTCCATCGCATCAAGCCGAGTATGCTTGCGCACCAGATATGAAACAGCAGCCTCCAGACCAGGAGTTCACTTCTGTTACGTTGTGCAGATTGCGGGTGAATATCAAAGGCGTCACAGTTGTCTGAGGGGCCGTTACTTATTCCTGTTAAAATCTTGCCACGAGCCCAGATGTTCGCCGTCCAACAAGTCACCTCGATCGAATCCC